GTGTGGTATTTTGGGGAACTCACTAAGCTTCGTGCTTACAGTGTTTTGTGTGATGTTTTTTTCAGGTTTCTTTCAGTATCACGGGACGGCACCGGCTTGATTGTACACACCAGAGAAAGAGTCATATTTTGGAGGATCCTGGTTTTCTATGCAAGTGAAAATGGAGTCATGTTTTGTAAATCGACTATGAATGAGATTTTAAACAAGTGTTTCTAAGAATAAAATGATTATTTTAAATGAAAAATTTGTCTTGAAATTTACGGTGTTACAAGTTGGTATCAGAGCCTTGGTTTGAGGGATTCGGATGCGCCTTCGGGTAAATCTGGACTCAAACTGAGGAAGTAAGAAAAGTTTTAAGGAAATAATTTTCTAAAAATGAATAAGGGTTCAAAGAGGAAGCAAGAAAGAGCAGTGTGTACAATCAGCCTGAGCCCGAACGGTGATTTCCCAAAATACCCTTATTTTTTTTGTGTTATGAGATATTTATGATGCACCTTATGAGATAATATTGCATGCTAGAGACAGTCTAGGTATTTCATATGTTAGGACTAGAGTGGCCTGATTTGTGATGCCTTAGTCTAGGACTCGTTGTTATATGTGTTATGCTTTTGAGTATGTGATGAGTGAGAGTATCCAGTTAGAACCCATGAGGGGTAGAGTTACAGAGTTTGGTGGTACTTTCGAGGATGAGCCGAGAAGGTGGAGTTATCACAGAGAGGGAGTCCTATGTATTCTTCGATGCTCGAATGCTGCTTGCTTTGTGCTTTGTGGAACTCTCGATGATGGGAGTCAGCTACCAAGTGAATATGACGATATTCAGGAGGTAGATGGCTGGCATCATTAGGAGCTCTTCAGCAGCTGATAGCAAAGAAGTGGGAGGACAACGAAAGAGCTTAGGGAGTAACCCGATCCAGGTGAGTGCGCTTGTAGAATAGAGAATTTCGCTGGGGAGCGAGCACGCGCGATGGGATTGGTGAAAGAGCAGGTCGAGCAGCTATTTAAAAGCTCTGGGATGGTCCGTGTGGAAAGTATGGGTAGATGTGGCAGGTAGTATGGGCCCGTACTACTGAAAGCAGAGGACCCATACTTGATACAGGGAGCATTCTGAAGGTTCTAAGGAGCGGATTGAGGAGTGATGTTATGGTTCGGGTACCATACATCAGAGTAGATTGAGGAAGTGATGTTATGGTTCGAGTACCATACATCAGAGCCGATTGAGGAGTGATGTTATGGTTCGGGTACCATACATCAGAGCAGATTGAGGAAGTGATGTTATGGTTCGGGTACCATACATCAGAGCCGATTGAGGAGTGATGTTATGGTTCGGGTACCATACATCAGAGCCGATTGAGGAGTGATGTTATGGTTCGGGTACCATACATCAGAGCAGATTGAGGAGTGATGTTATGGTTCGGGTACCATACATCAGAGCAGATTGAGGAAGTGATGTTATGGTTCGAGTACCATACATCAGAGCAGATTGAGGAGTGATGTTATGGTTCGGGTACCATACATCAGAGCAGATTGAGGAAGTGATGTTATGGTTCGAGTACCATACATCAGAGCCGATCGAGGAGTGATGTTATGGTTCGGGTACCATACATCAGAGCAGATTGAGGAAGTGATGTTATGGTTCGGGTACCATACATCAGAGCAGATTGAGGAGTGATGTTATGGTCCGGGTTCCATACATCGGACGGATGGAGGAGTGATGTTATGGTCCGAGTACCATACATCGGAACGAATTGAGGAGTGATGTTATGGTCCGGGTACCATACATCGGAGCGGATTGGGGAGTGATGTTATGGTTAGGGTACCATACACCGGGGCATATTGAGAAGAGATGTCATGAAATGAGTACCATGGGTCGTAGTGAAGTATGTTTGTGGTTCTCCGGTTATTCGGTCATGAGTAAGTTCGTTGAGGCGTCCCGTGAGAGGGAGATCGAGAGTCCCTCAGAGTATTTTAGTAAGGAGTCAGTGAGAAGGGAGAATTTCGATCTGTGTTGGGCAATCAGTCGATAAAGGAGATGTCACCTCCTATGATCTGGGAGGTACTGATTATGCTCGTGTGAAATATGAGAAGCATGATGTTTTGGTTTTGGGTTTAGGGGTAAACCCTGCAGGTCGTCATTGATGATGATTTCCCACCAGAGTATCAGGTAGCAGGTGTGCCGCGAGGCAGTGATTTATCATGAGCAGATAGTCAGTTGGGACTAAGATGTGTGAGGACCACACTACACCTATTTGAGCATAGTAGGAGGTATTGTAGTGGTATCAGTGGGGAGTTCAGTCGAGTTCAGCGGTGCAGAGAGTTTTCTATCCATGGGGTGTTGAATCTGGGAGTGAGTACCTGTTCTTGGGATGAACACGGTGTTGGAGTGTTGGTTGATGAGTTGAGGTGAGGGGTACGATGATTTTATGGTTCAGTCTATGAGCCAGGAATGTTATCGAGCAGTTGAGCTGTTTGGTACTAAATTGGTACGAGATTTGGAACGACTAGAGGCAGACGTGACGAGAAGTTCTTGAGGAGTTCACCAGAGGTTCATAGTATATGAGGTCGATTCATTTCCTTAAGGGGGGATTATCGGGCGTTGTGTAGCACCTTCCGGGGGCCGGTGCGATTTTGCTGGAGAATATAGTTATGGGTTAGTTGCGTGCTATTTGGTGATGGTTCGAACCCTAAGTGGGGGAGAACCGGGTGCCGTATGTAAGAAAGCAGAGATTTGTCAAGAGCAGTTATAAGTGGAGTATAGAGATATGCGGTAAGAAATCATGAGACCAGAGATGTCGGTGATCGAGGAAAGGGGTCAGAGTGAGTTAATGCGGGAAGTACTTGTTTGAGAAGGATGAATGTCTCCACGACAGGTGTTTTTTAGTCAGGAATCTGGTATTGGTCAGTGTTGGGGCAAGTAGATAAAGAATGATTGGGCAGCCAACTCCCGGGTCAGTATGCGTATCCTTGTTTGGATTTTGAGCGGCGGGAAAAAGGGTTTCGGAGAATTATCAGCGTATTTCGTAGTGTTAGCGTTTCTTCGTATTGCAATTGAGAAATTGAATACACCGAAGTTGCAACTTGAGAAAAATGAAGATCTAGTTATGGGGTTCAGAGGGAGAGGGAATGTATTATTGCATCTATATGGTGCTTGGGGCAGGAGATCTGTGGTTGTGGCGGGATCTTGTGATGTTCGGTGGGGTGTTCCGAGGTATCCGGGTATTGATATCTTTATTTTGAAGTTATTCGTGAATCTTGAGTTGAGACGACTTGTGGTATATCAGGTATCTATGGATCTAGTGAGAGCCTTCGAGTATGGGCATCCAGGGAGATTACTTGGGAGAGTGGATCTTCGTAAGGGTGGACATCTGTTATGACGATTGCCTCCAGAGTCTGTGATGAATATTCGAGACGAGTATGGGTAGCCGCCTATGATAGTCTGTGGAGCACGAACTAGTGGAGTCAGAGGGTGTTGTGATACTGCGGGGAGCCGTAGTACTCACTAGTCAGAGAGTGTTGTGATACTGCGGGGAGCCGTAGTACTCACTAGTCAGAGGTGTTGTGATACTGCGGGGAGCCGTAGTACTCACTAGTCAGAGGGTGTTGTGATACCGCGGGGAGCCGTAGTGCTCACTAGATGGCAAGAGAGTGTGATGATGGAATGTTCTCCGATCAGTGTATGATGTGGAAGAGTTTTGGGCTTGAGTAGCCCTAGTATTGAGTTTTTGGAGCCTGGATGTTAGACCGGGGGCGAGACTGGGGTCCCCGTCTCTGTCGGGGAATGTGGTGAGATGCGCAAGGGATATGCGCAGCTAAAACCAGAGATCAGAGTGGAGACGATCCTCGGTTGGATTGTACTTTCTTGCATAAGGAAAAGAGAATTTCGTGACTTGCGTGTCACGAGGCCGGGATAGTGGTCACGGGGAGGAAGTTAGTGGGATATTTGGATCATGATTTGGGTGACCTTTGGAGGCTCAGTTGTGGAGTCAAAAGCTGACCTGGTGACCAGTCTCGAAGAGGATATGAGATGAGCTAGAGCCTATCATGATGATGTCTGAGGACACCTCAGAGGGAATGAACGATTCAGACGCTCAAAGACATGCTTCGGGCATGTGTATTAGATTTGGAGGGTGTTGCGGCACATATTTATCCTTGGTTGAGTTATCCTATTTCAACAGCCATCATTAGTGCATCGGTATGCCACCCTTTGTGTTGTTGTATGGGAGGAAGTGTCGGACCCTCATTTGCTGAGGAGAGTGTCGACTCGCTGAAGTGGAAGTTGTAGTGAGAATGGATGATTTGGAGTATGATGGTCGAACATTGTGTCTGTGGCAGTGGTATGGAATGACATTATGATGGGGTGTCTGCTGAGGATGCGGAAGGGATTCCGCGGGTGTAGAGCCAAGAGTCTCAGGATGGATGTAGGGATGGAGTCTGGGACTCCCAGCTTGATTCTGATCAAGGGTCGTGTGCGTAGTGGTGGTGTCTCCTGGGGATGTTAGAGATGTCATCAGTGCGACGGGTTCTCCTAACCCAAGAATGCAAAGGTTGGTGCGGCTTGGGTGCTTGATTGCAAGAAGAGGACTCATGAGGGTTGCTCTGGGATTGAAGAGTGGGCCTTTCTGTCGTCACGGATTGGATAGGATAGGATTCGGATCAGGGATCCGATGGTTCATGGCTTCTAACCCTTATGGGTTAAGTGATTGTTGAGATTTGGGTCAGTGATGCTTCATGGGTAATTCTCGGATCGTTGAGTGTGGTTATCAGAGGGTACA